ATATGAGATGAAAGATTACAAGTCAGCGTTGGAGTCACATCAACATGCTCTTCAAATCAGATTGAAACTGTTTGGACAAGACGATTCTGACACTGCTCTAAGTTATTACAACATTGGAAACACACAATATGAGATGAAAGATTACAAGTCAGCGTTGGAGTCACATCAACATGCTCTTCAAATCAGATTGAAACTGTTTGGACAAGACGATTCTGACACTGCTCTAAGTTATTACAACATTGGAAACACACAATATGAGATGAAAGATTACAAGTCAGCGTTGGAGTCACATCAACATGCTCTTCAAATCAGATTGAAACTGTTTGGACAAGACGATTCTGACACTGCTCTAAGTTATTACAACATTGGAAACACACAATATGAGATGAAAGATTACAAGTCAGCGTTGGAGTCACATCAACATGCTCTTCAAATCAGATTGAAACTGTTTGGACAAGACGATTCTGACACTGCTCTAAGTTATTACAACATTGGAAACACACAATATGAGATGAAAGATTACAAGTCAGCGTTGGAGTCACATCAACATGCTCTTCAAATCAGATTGAAACTGTTTGGACAAGACGATTCTGACACTGCTCTAAGTTATTACAACATTGGAAACACACAATATGAGATGAAAGATTACAAGTCAGCGTTGGAGTCACATCAACATGCTCTTCAAATCAGATTGAAACTGTTTGGACAAGACGATTCTGACACTGCTCTAAGTTATTACAACATTGGAAACACACAATATGAGATGAAAGATTACAAGTCAGCGTTGGAGTCACATCAACATGCTCTTCAAATCAGATTAAAACTGATTGGACAGGACCATTCTGACACTGCTCGAAGTTATTATAAGATCGGAAGCACACAATATGAGATGAAAGATTACAAGTCAGCGTTGGAGTCGGATCAAAACGCTCTTCAAATCAGATTAAAACTGTTTGGCGAAGACCATTCTGACACTGCTCGGAGTTATGACAACATTGGAGTTACACAAAACGATACGAAAGATCACAAATCAGCATTAGAGTCTAAACAAAAAGCTCTTCAAATCAGATTAAAACTGTTTGGAGAAGAACATTCTGACACTGCTGAAAGTTATGACAGTATTGGTTTGACACAAAGTAAGATGAACGATTACAAGTCAGCATTAGAGTCTAAACAAAAAGCTCTTCAAATTAGATTAAAGCTGTTTGGTGAAGACCATTCTGACACTGCTCTAAGTTATAACAACGTTGGAGTTACACAACTTGAGATGAAAGATTACAAGTCATCATTGGAGTCATTTCAACATGCTTTTCAAATTAGACTAAAACTGTTTGGAGAAGACCATTCTAAGACTGCTCTAAGTTACAACAACATTGGAGTTACACAACATGAGATGAAAGATTACAAGTCAGCGTTAGAGTTGAAACAAAAAGCTCTTCAAATTAGATTGAAACTGTTTGGAGAAGAACATTCTGACACTGCTGAAAGTTATGACAGTATTGGTTCGACACAAAATGAGATAAAAATCTCATTCAAACTGTTTGGAGAGGACCATTCTGATACAGTTAGTAGTTATGACCGCATCGGAATTGCACAAAATAAAATGCGAGATTACAAATCAGCCTTAGAATCTAAACAAAAAGCTCTTCAAATTAGATTAAAATTGTTTGGAGAAGACCATCCTGACACTGCTACAAGTTATAACAGCATTGGAGGAATGCAACATGACATAAAAAACTACCAGTCAGCATTAGAATCTGCACAAAAAGCTCTTCAAATCAGAATAAAATTGTATGGGGAAGATCATTCTGACACAGTTGAAAGTTATCGTTCAATTGGAGTCATTCAACGTGCTATGAAAAACTACAAAGCAGCATTGAAATTACACCAATATGCTTTACAAACTAGATTAAAGATACACGGGGAGTACCACCCTGAGACTGCTCGCAGTTATTGCAGCCTTGGAATCACACAACGACAGATGAAAGATTACAAGTCAGCGTTAGAGTCACAACAACAAGCTCTAGAAATCGTGTTAAAATTGTTCGGAGAGAGTCATCCTGACACTGCTCAAGTTTATGATAACATTGGAGACGCACAATGTGAGATGGAGGATTACGAGTTAGCTGTAGAGTCGTATCAACACGCTCTTCAAATCAGATTTAAACTGTATGGGGAAGATCATCCTGACACAGCTAAAAGCTATGAAAATATTCAACTCGTACAAGACCGCAAGACAAATGATGTGAGCGTTATTCCAGAAGAAAGGGACTTGCCAAATTGGATGAAATATTTATAAAAAGAACATTTTCTAAAATTGCGACAAAATATGGAAAATTGAAAGCAGCGTATATGTTGGATAAAAATTTAGAACCTATATTAATTATATATCAGTGAGAGGGTGCAGGTAGAGACCCTTGGTAACTCATATTTAAGAACATTGTAACGAAGGACATGCATGTATATCAATGGCTCTGAATAACTCGATTCACTTTGTTTGCTTTAGCCACTGTGCCGCAGGTTATATTCGTCTGATGTTGAGGATTTAGAAACTATATAGCAAGGAATAGGCACTCGGTATCATCTTCGATGACAACCTTGTTCCCAACGAGGTTGATACAAAACAACCTATTTTTGCAGCAACGTTCATCTTTAAAGTTTCAGTTTAAATTAAGCCACTTTAAAAATTATTTCTTTCGGTCCTTGTGTCTTTAAAAAAACAATAAAAAGTGGTCGGGTATTCTGAGTTACTCCGACAAGCTGGGATTTTGTACGCTTCATTGTGCGACTGTTTTTACGCGACTAGTGCGCAGATTCATAACAACTGGATAGTAATCAATATCTCAACTATCTGTGGCAAAGTTTGTAATAAATATGCTGGAAATGCTTTTAAATCGTAGTAACTTTATAGCAAAAAAAAATCCAAAAACCATTTTAATGCTTACAAATTGCGCCGCTCGAAGTATATTATTGTATGGTATGGTAGATAAAAAGTCTAAGAACACCATTAGTCTGCACAAAGATATGCTACTTGCCCTATATAAGAAACAAATTCCGAAGAACAAGTTAGGTCATCTTAAAATCGATGAAAATTTACGGTTACTGAAAATACCGTTTTCCTGCAAATGCCGCTTTGTTTGATAGTATACACGATCATAAGCCCTTTTCCGTTACAGCGGACTGCACCATAGTTGGCGTTCATGATGTACTATTTAAAGCACGCGTAGGAGACTAGTGTTTTATCGTGTATCTGATAAAACACGACTACAAGTGCTTTAAATGGTTTAAAAAACGACTCATCTTATATGAGTTTATTGGCGAAGTAATTTTTAAAAATAATAAACTTTGTCTAAACCGAGAAATTCAAAGCTAAAGTTTATGTAAATTAACATGATTTTTAGTTTTTTAAGTATATATATAGTTCAACTTTTGTGAGAATTCTCTGAAGTTAGATTTATCAGCAAAACGCGAGAAACCTGAAAGGGGGCCTGAGGGCATGTTGCCCTACCTCAGAAGATTTTGATCTTCTAAGCTTAAAAAACGCTTTTTACTGCATTTGAGTCATTTGCATGCTGGCCACTGCTTAATGACGATTGGCCCTGTGGCTACAATCACAGAAATAAGATATAGTTGTGTAATTATAGTCTTTATGTAATTCCTGTAATTAATAATCACAGACAAAGACAACATATATGTGGTGATTGACAGTTAAGATATATCATTTACATAATAAAGGACAATGCGCGGAAAAAGAGGACACATGCTACTGGGGCGCGAAGGAAGAAACATTCAGTTTGTATTTCTAAGTAAAGGAATAAATATATAATTGTAACGTGTGTGTTTGATTACTGCATTGGCGACGAGGATAAATTATGGCAATGAATGACTTACAGCCAATGCCTTTGTTCGAACCGAAAACTGATCCAACGAATACAAGCGCTCCATGGATAAAGTGGATTCAAGGTTTTAATACATATTTGGTCGCTTCGAATGTGTAGGACGCTGCACGTAAACGAGCACTACTATTGTATCAAGCTGGATCTGAAGTTCACGCGATATTCAAAACATTGCCTGACACAGGAGGTGAGAAAGATTATGAAGCAGTTGTCAATGCCCTCACTGCATATTTTGAACCGTACGGAGAAAAATCGAATCTACCAAACATATATGTTTAGACAAGCATCTCAACAAGATAATGAAACCATCGACGAATTTCACACAGGCTTGAGACGATTAGCAAAACATTGTGAGTTCGCGGATGTTGAATTCGAAATCAAAATGCAAATTGTGTGCAACGGTACCGCGAGACTGAGTAAGAACGGTCGTACTAATTACCGACAACAAGCTCACAATTACCGACAACAGGCTCACAATTACCGACAACAAGCTGAAACATACCGACAACAAGCAAATACATACTTTCATTGTATTCTTATAGTTATCAGTTTGTATGAATGCACGGCTGTTTTTGAGGAAACCCAAATACATACATGAATTTGATGTAAATAATTTATAGCTTGTTTCTGTTCGTACTGTAGTGCGAAATTAAAAATACTATTAAACATTTAAGAAAGCGTTGAAAAAAGTGATTATTCACTCAAATATATGTTGATCGATGATCACCAGTGGCATGGAAGAAAAATTTAAGGATGTACAACTTAATCAAGTTGAGAGAAAACCTGCTGACACAGTTGATGTTATTGACTCCCAAATCTATGATCGCCTCAAATCCCAGCGTCAAATTATGCAAAAGTACGACCAAGATATTCGCTTATGGCTCGAACAAACAACAACCACTACCTCTTATAAAGGTTAATTTCAGGCAACGGTAGAATCAAATAAACGTTATACTGTCTCTGTTATTCACGTTGTCAAAAGCGGTTCTGGTAATCTACTTAGTGCGAAAATCCAGGAGATTATTGATTATAAATACGCAATTATTGCTGGGTAATTGAACAATCAATGAGTATACGCAATGATGTATCAAAGGCGTTAAAGAAACCCCAAGGCACCCCATGCAAAGGACGGTGGAGCCGTTAAGCACGAGTCGCTTTCTTATTTCTGTGCAGAAATGAATGGACTGGAATTTGTACGTTTGATCGAATTGGTCTAATTTTCACGACAAATGAAACAAGACCAGATCAAGCAAGAATTGAGCATGACAACTTATAGTCAAATTCAGCGCACCAAAAAATACCAGCGACGTAGTTTTCGGGTGTGGCTAACAGTGTCGTGACTTTGTGAAAGTGTGACTTCAACGTATTCCCCAAAGTTCCAGAGTACGCCGTAATTACTACACCATTGCGAGGTCTCACAAAGAAAAGTGCTGCTTTCACTTGGAAACATACTCACCTAATAGGCTTTGAGCACAGGGGCGTAGAAACTGGGGGGCACGAGGGACACGTGCCCCCCAAATTTTTTCAAAGGACTAAAAGTGCCCTTTTTTGTGATGAAAAGTGCCCTTTTTTGTGATGAAAAGTGCCCTTTTTGTACAAGCTAATGTCGCTGTAAATACTAAATTAGATAGATAGATAGATAGATAGATAGATAGATAGATAGATAGATAGATAGATAGATAGATAGATAGATAGATAGATAGATAGATAGATAAATAGATAGATAGATAGATAGATAGATAGATAGATAGATAGATAGATAGATAGATAGATAGATATAGATAGATAGATAGATAGATAGATAGATAGATAGATAGATAGATAGATAGATAGATAGATAGATAGATAGATAGATAGATAGATAGATAGATAAATAAATAGATAGATAGATAGATAGATAGATAGATATATAGATAGATAGATAGATAGATAGATAGATAGATAGATAGATAGATAGATAGATAGATAGATAGATAGATAGATAGATAGATAGATAGATATTTTATTTTTCCATTATACAATTACAGTTTTGATAAAATATAAAGATACAATTCATATGGAAGGAAGACTAACAAGCCCGTCAGGGCTTTTCAAGTAGTCCACCCTAAAAAATTTAAAAAAAACCCAACTAATATAACAAAGGAGAATAGAGTCAGATAATGTCAGGTTCAAAATATATGAGGCACACTAATACAAATTAACTTAATAAAGTTATAAATTATTTTTATTTACATTCTTTGTAAGTACAACTAATAATCTTCAGAAGAAAGAAGATATAATTTTAGATTGCACTTAAATATGTATTTATTATCGCTATTTTTAATGTATTCCGGTAACATATTCCACATTACTGTGCATCTGGTTTTTGTGGAATACAGTTCATAGTTTGTTTTATTGTAGTGTTTGTGTAATTTCGTAGAGCCTCTGGTATTATGGCAATGAATAACATTGTTTTTTATGCAAAGTGAATCAAATTGAGGTGGTAGTGTATTTTTTACTGCGTCGAATGCGAACAAGCCAACTTGAAAAGCATTTATCTTATTAAAGCCAATTTAAAATGTTTAAATTCAGTTAATGAGACAACATGTTGAAAGCATGACAAAGGTGCAAGTCGACATTTCCGTGGTTTGTTGGTGGGTCAAATGTTATTTTCTTGAAGCAGCACTGTGTTCAGGTTAGATGGAAAACACGGAGTCGGAGTTCCGGAGTCCCGGAGCCCCGGAGTCGGAGTCCCGGAGTCGGAGTCCCGGAGTCTGACGTCATAAAAATATGGAAAACACGGAGTCATATGGAAAACACGGAGTCTGACGTCATAAAAATATGGAAAACACGGAGTCATATGGAAAACACGGAGTCTGACGTCATAAAAATATGGAAAACACGGAGTCATATGGAAAACACGGAGTCTGACGTCAGAGAAAAATATGGAAAACACGAAGTCATATGGAAAACACGGAGTCTGACGTATTGTCAGCGTGAAATATGGAAAATAGTAATTAAATAATATAAGAATAATATATAATTTATGCGAATATAAACAAACGGACGAATTTATAATAAACGAATTGGAAATTTTCTGCACGGTAATTCTGGTATTTCTCTAAAATGTCGTGAAAATATGGATTATTTATTTTTAAATACAATCAAGCAAATAATATTGTTTCTCTTGTCGTGTGACTTGTTCAGTTGTACAATATTTGAAGTGATTTTAATGCGGATTTTGTTCACCTCGCATGGTATGTTGATAAAAATATAGTTTATATACTTAATACTGCTAGAATATTTCCTAGTCGATTAGCATGTAATATTTATAATACACAATATCTTGACACAAAACAGATATGCTGCTTGGAAACAGCGTTGCTATTTAGGCCACATAAGTAAATATAGAAATTTTGTATTTCATAAAGTATTACTGACAATGCTTTTGAAAGGGATAATTTTATTAAGTGAAACCCACCTGTTGTGGACTTAAAATAAAATTGTGAACTGATGATGCAGAACCACTGGGATAGGGATATTGCTAGGAATACTGCCAGGGATACTGCTAGGGATTGTGGCGCACTAAATTTACCATTATGGATTGTTTCATTATAAACAGTACTGGAATGCTCTGAATGGTTGTACAATAAGCAATATTTGCCTTAGTAAAGTAAGCCAGTATCTAGGCTGGCTTGCATTACATATAAACATCCCCTATAATTCTACTATAGTTGGAAAAAATTACGAAGTAAATTTCCCTTCAATATATGCAATTTGTAGTTATAGTTGTATATATATATATATATAGGCACAAAAATGGCTGAAATAGTTTAAAATTCAATAAAATGTCATTGGGTCATTCCAGAAAACATCCATACCACCCCCACGGAGGAAATTGGAAGTTAACCCCCCTACCCCCTTCAGATGTCCTAATACATTTACTATTATCAGAAACAATTTTGTCTTCCCTCCCCCTCCGGACAGCAGAAATTTCCTCCGTGGGGGGAGTGTGGATCTTTTCTGGAACGACCCATTGTGTTGACATGAAAATATTCTACCAACTGTTTTTGTAGCCATAGGTGTTAATTTAAACCATGCAATTAATGCTCAATATATCTTACATAGATTCATAGTGACATACAAGTCTATGCCACTACACCCGTACTGCAAATCTGCATTCATAGTTCATACGATTGAGCATCTCATGGTTTAAATTAACACCTATGGCTACACAATGACATTGTATTGAATTTTAAACTATTTCAGCCATTAATTTTTGTGCCTATATATACAACTAACTACAAATTGCATATATTGAAGGGAAATATATTTCATTCTAGATTTGTTTTACTTCTTAATTTTTTCCAACTATTGCAGGATTATAGGGGATGTTTTATATGTAATGCAAGCCAGCCTAGACACTGGCTTACTAAATTCACTAAGGGTCTGTTTATATGGAAGCCGAGCTGGCCCGCTAAGCGAGACAGCCCGGTAAGCGAGATCTCGCTGTGTAGTTATTTTTATAGTAAAAATTATTGTGCATTTATATGGACTCGCTTGAAAGAGGTGAGATCTCGCTACCGGGATGGAAATTTCTCCATATAAACACTCACAAGCAGGCTAGGCTGGTTGCCGTGATGAAAGTTCAAAAATACCGCAGCAAGCTATTTTTAACAACTGTCAAAACAATACAATGTAACAAAATTCTCATATAAACATGAGAGAAATTCATCCCGCTTACTGGGCTGTCTTGCTAAGCGGGCCAGCCCGGGTTCCATATAAACAGGCCGTAAGGCAAATTTTGCTTATTGTACAACCATCCAGTATGAGCATTCCAGTATTTATAATGAAACAATCCATAATTGATATTTGACAAATCAACCATTTGCCTATAACTACATGAATGTGGCAACACTATTATTCTGTTCTTTATAACTTAATTGCTTGGACAAAAATCTACGAAAACAGTAAATTTAGTGCCCCACAATCCCTAGCTACCAGTGGTTCTGCATCATCAGTTCACAATTTTACTTTTAAGTCCACAACAGGTGGGTTTCACTTAAAATTATCCCTTTCAAAGCATTGTAATACTTTATGAAATACAAAATTTCTGTATTAACCCTTTAATTATAAGTGACAATATATGTGCCCAGATGTACCCTACTTTATATTTTACTCTGCCTAACGCCAGACGATTTTACAATGGTATCATGCAATTAAGCCTGGAACAAATGGTCAGTTATAAATACCTATATTGATCACTCAAATATCAATGGCTTGATTAATTGCAACTTAATTATGATATTGCATGATATTTAATTCAGTATAAAAACCTAAAACTTATATGTTAGAGATATTAACTTGGTATGGGCTTACCACTATAGTGCAGGGGTTTTTTTGGACACCTGAAAACTTTTTTAATGCCATTAATATACTGCACGGATTTGTGTGTTGGCTGGCTGCATCTATTTATTAGTAAATAACAATATTGCACGCTGTTTCCAAGCAGCATATCTGTTTTGTGTCAAGATTTTGTGTGTTATAAATATTACATGTAAATCGACTACGAAATATTCTAGCAGTATTAAGTATATACACTATATTTTTATCAACATA